ACACACACACACACACACACACACACACACACACACACACACACACACACGTCCACAACAACATCAACAAACAAACTACGGGCTGCGCACCCATGCCCTCAAGGTAAGTCAATAGTCCAGGATCTCCGCCACCAGATCCCGATGGATCAGAATTGTCACTCCCCCCTTTGTTCCCATTGCAGCCGCCCAGATCTGAGGGTCGTCCTACCACCTGCCCAATTCATTGATTCTCTCATTATTCAGCTTGGTTTCTTGAAAACAGGCAATCGAGATCCTGTTCCTGTGCAGCCACGACCTTACCCTCGGTCTTTTCTGCCTACCCGTTGTATACCCAAAGCCTTGAAGGTTCCATGTGGCCAACCGCACTCTAACCATTGACCCGCGCGGTTCCCTGCTGTGATTGGATCTGGGACGAGGTTCCCTGATGTGTTACCAGAGGTGGACAATATCGTAATAGGAGGAGATTGGAACACGTCGCTGGACGTGCTCCCCGGGCAGGGCACGGAAGGAGGTCCGGGCCATGTTATTGCTTTGGTTGATCTTATGGAAGAGTACAAGCTGCAGGACTCGTTTAGAGAGCTGAAACCAACAGACAAGGGGTTCACGTGGTTCTCCCACCGGGGGAGAGGCAGAAGGCTTGATTATTTGCTGACGGGGGGCTGCATGCAAAGTGCAGTAGTGAGCATCTCGGTGAATAACAATCCGGTTTCTGACCATAAACCAGTGGTGGGAGTATTCAACATGGGGCCAGAACAAATGAGGGGTAAATGGTATTTTAAGCTCAATACCTGCAATCTGAAGGAGGAAGGGTTGAACTGATGGGTTGAGGAGTTTTTGGGCAGATGGGGTAAACAGAAGGAGAATTTTGCAACGGTTGCCGATTGGTGGGAAAAGGGATCAAAGATTCTGACTAATTTATTGAACGTTCTCTCAAAGATCCTGGCGCAGAACAGGAATAAGGCGGAGAAAGAGTGTTGGAGGAAAGTTCAGGAAGTGGAGGAGAGGATGAGGGAGCACCCCATCTCATAATTGACTTGGGGAAAGGAGAGAGCACGCAGACTCGCGGTTTGGGATGCTCTACAACAGGAGAAATCGGAGCAGTGGGCGGAGAGGGCCAAAGTTAAGGGACTTGCGGTGTATGATAGGATGACCAAGGAATCCTTCAAAAAGCTCATCCCCTCGAGAACGGCATAGAACATGAAAGAATTGAAACATCCATTCGAGGCAGAGGAACCGATTGCTCAGACTCCAAAGGGAATGTGTAATTATGCGGTGCTATACTACAGAGACATCTTGACGACGAGAAGAACCGGAGAAGGGGCAGAAACCAACCTGGCGGAAGGTACGGATCATTGGGTCAATACGGAAGTGAGGCTTACGATGCAGCAAGGCTTGACCTGGACCGACCGATCACCAAAGAGGAGGCAAAGGAAGCGTGAGAGCAATGGCAACGGGGAAGATCCCTGGAAGCGACGGAATTCCGGTGGAATTCTATAGACGTCACTAGAAGTCAGTGGGGGAGGATTTGGTGGAGGTATATAACGAGATCCAGCAAGGTCGAAGGCTACCAGCAAGTGCAACTAGAGGGATAATCTCAATTTTGTTCAAGAAGGGGGATACAAATGAGATTCGAAACTAGAGGCCAATCTCGTTATTGAACGTCTCGTACAAGATTTTGGCGAAAGTTCTTGCTCGACGGTTAGGAAAGTATCTTCCGAAGCTGGTAGAGGAAGATCAGGCGGCATTTGTGCAAGGGAGATCCATCTATGAGAACATCGTGACAGCGGTGGAAGCACTAGAGATAGTGGAGAAAAATGATTTAAACCTAGCTGTGCTGCTGTTAGACATGGAGAAAGCATATGACCGGGTAAACTGGTCACATGTTACAACTACTCTGCGATGGATGGGATTCAGAGAAATCTTCTGTACCTGGGTGGTAGCGCTGTACTCATTATCGTCTGCAGCTGTCATGGTTAATGGTCATATTTCCGCCTCCTTTAAGCTAACGCGGTCTTTACGATAGGGCTGTCCTTTGGCCCCGTTGCTGTTTGTAGTGCACCTAGAGGTGGTCTTAAACAACATTAGAGCTCATATGCAGATCTCAGACCTAGTAACGGAGTACAGAGTCTGCAAGGTCAAAGCCTTGGCAGATGACCTGTTTGCAGTGTCTGCGAACACGGAAGGCTCGATGACGACACCTCGACACTGCCTAAAACAGTACGAAGATTTATCTGAAGCAGCGATTAATTGGTCCAAGTCTGTGTTTTTTTTGCCACACAACCACACACCAGCAGTTAACTGGGGCATGAAAAGGATCGGACATAGTGATTCTGAGCAATTTCTCGGGGTCCAAGTGGCCCTATCGTCGTGCATCCTTCGTTAGAATGAGATCCTGCAATCGAGGGTGTTGCAAC